AAGATCACGTGCCCCAGCTGCGCACACGCAAAACAAAGGCTCCGCCCACACAAACCCACGGTCCATACATACTGTGGTATAACCCCCCCTGGGGCTTTAAATTAGATTAGATCAAGAACTAGATCAGCTACTGTAGAGCGTCGAGCTCTACAGTACAACCGCACGTGTCCACGTGTACACCACGGGGACAAGGGACACGTGCATACACGTGCTCACGTGTACCGCGCGCGGACGAAGCACGCACGCACCACGGGTACTACGTGGACTGTCAGCCTCGACATAGCTGACAGTATTACAGTGCAGGCCGACCTGCACTACAGTAGCCCACTACAGTACCTCGGTACTGTAGTGTTATGATAGATTGTTTTGTATATTAAATACGGAGCGGACCGGCGGCGGCGTAGGGGGACAAGCACGGGCTTGTCCTCAACCGACCGCCAAGGTCAGTCCACCCAGCTTATTCTAAACGTCGCCTTCGCTCTTCGCGCGCGTTTAGTCGGAGCCAAGCCGGAGTGGACGCGCAGCACGCGAGCGAGCACGGAACCGCCTCCGCCCGTCAGCACTGGTACGTCACCCAGTGCTCCTCCGGGGCGTCGAGGCGTCGATCCGCTCGTGCGTGCGCGCGTCCCTGCTCGCTCCCGCTCTACTACCGCTACCCGGGCCCGAGCCCGGTTCCGTAGCTGGTTGGCCCGCTTCACCCCTTCTCCGATCCGGGGTCTACAGGTCGAACTGCGCATACACCTCCAGTCGTTTGGGGGTGTTTATGCTACACATACCTCGCTGGCTTCTCCCTCAGCAGCGATATATGCGGGCCCATTGCCTCCACGTCCCGCCAAGGAAACAAGTATGTTCTAACAGTACTCGACACAACCACACGGTATCTTTCACCGACTTTATGCCCTCACGAGCACAAACCCCGCAACGCCTCGACTATATCCTAATCACTACCAAGGAGAACACAGGGCATTCACCACGAGTCCTCCGCACCGATAACGCACTATAATATATGTCAGCAACTGCCATACAGACATACCACAACCAGCGCACACGGCATTCCACCACCATCCCCTATACCCCTCAAGAGAACAGCCTTGCCGAAAGGATAAACAGCACGCTTCTCAACGCGGCCTGGGCTGCCCTCCACCACAGTGGCCTCTGCCACCATCACTGGGAAGACGCGATCAGAGATGCAACAGTTAAATATCATCACACAATGCACCACGGCACCAAAGAGCTCCCCACCACTGAATGGCACAACGCAGCCCCCGCCATCCCCCAATTCAACATATTCGGCCAGCTGGGCACCACACCCGACCCGCGACAACGTGCAAAAATCCCGAAGCTACAATCAAGATCACGTACAGTACGGTACCTGCACCCCCATGACGACACACACCTCACCGTCATAGACGCCGCCACCTCAAAATTCCACCGTATACGAACAGTGTGTGGCATAACGGCGGTTCACGATTAGATTTAGATTAGATTAATATGAGCCGCACGCGCGCACACGTGTACCGCGCATGTACCCCACGTGTACAGGGGCGCGCGCACGCACGTGCACACGTGTACCACACGTGTGGGAAGCGCGCATACCCACGTGTACAATACGTGTACAACACGTGTACAGACAGCACGGGACGGCCCGTGCTGACTACAGTTGCGCTACAGTACAGCTCGTACTGTACTGTAATAAGTTAGGAGTACTTGGTATATTAAATACGCAAGCGGACCGGCGGCGATGAGAGGGGACAAGCACGGACTTGTCCACGACCTACCGCCTAGGTCCGTCTTCCAGCTTAACTATCTCGCGCGATCTGCCTTCGCGCGCGTTAACCGGGACGAAGGGGGTAGGGGACAGCCGCGTACGCGAGCGAGCCTAGATCCGCCTCCGCCCGTCAGCGCTGGTACGTTACCCAGCGCTGCTCCGGGGCGTCGAGGCGTAGATCGGCCCGCGCGTACGCTCGTCCGCGACCGTCCTGCTCTACCACGCTACCAGGGCGCGCCTCCCTGTCTCGTTAGCTGTGTGTTCTCCACGTCTTCTCGCCCCTCGTACGGGTCTACGTCGAGCTAAGTATACATCCCTCTCCGTTGGGGGGTGTTATACTACACAGTGGACTTCCACCCCTACCATGCCTCGCGAGATCCAACCGTAACCACAGTAGCTGCGTTCAAGGCCTTTACCCTGCATAAGACGCCAATGGACATCTCTATATCGACACCTGCCCCCCTCAACCGAGGATGGGCCAAGAAATATCCTGACGCACAACTCTGGGCAGAGGCCCGTGACAAAGAACTTGACGCACTCGACAAAAAGCAGGTAATCAAATGGACCCCCAACAAGCACCTCCCGCCCAAAACACGCCTTATCCCCCTCACCATGGGATATCGCTATAAGCGCGACAAAAACGGTGACATTGTCAAACGCAAAGCACGATGTGCTGCACGCGGGGACACCATGCTCCCCCACGTACATTACGACCCAAAGCGCACAACGACCTATATGGCCGATAAGTCCTCAGTGCGCCTCTTATTTGCCATGGCCGCAGCACACAAGCTACACATGGAGCATATAGACATCGAAGCTGCCTACCTCCACGAAAAATTCGACCACAGCGGAAAAAAGCCAGTGCATGTACACCAACACCCCCGTTTTGACGGGACATACAAACATCCCTGCAAAGGAGGCCAGCTCCTCCAAAACCTTTACGGCACGCCACAAGAAGGATACACATACCTCACTGCCGTCTTCGACCTCCTCAACCGCCACAGATTTCGCCATTCAGAAGGCGACACATGTCTGTTCCACAAAATATCCCGCAACGCGGCAACCTTCGTGGCCATAAGCATGGATGACTTCACGGTTGCAGCCACCTCCACCACACTCCTCGACGACTTCGCAAAAATACCCACAACGGCGTATACCATAAAACGCCTAGGAGTGCGTGGGGATCCGCATCGCTCCGAACGGTGTGTACAATGGCATGGGGAGCGACGACTTCCGCGAGTCGTTCCTGTACAAGCTGGGCTACATTCACGTCATGATCGGGCTGGGCTTCGGCTTCCACAACAAGGGCAAGCCGATGACGATTGCGGAGCTGAAGAAGGAGTTCCCGGGACCGATTATTGCGAATGTTGGATTCGACGCCGACTCGGCAGAGAGGGAGCTGTCCGAGGGCGGCGCAGACTTGGTCGCGTTTGGAAGGCCGTTCCTCTCAAATCCGGATTTGGTCGAGAAGATGCAGGAGGGGAGGGAATTACGCCCGATGCTTCCGATGGAATATTGGTACACGAGTAAGGAAAATGTATGGACCAGTGAGGGCTACACAGACCTTAGCGTTATGGATGAACCGGTACAGGCAAAGGAATAGATGTGGTAGTTTCCTTCTAGAAGTCCGTGTCGATTTTAATTTTGATTGCAGAATCCTAAATGCCGATGTTTTCATACACATCAAGCCTTTTTGTGTGTGTATCTTTTCGTGGCGGCATGCTTTTAACTTGTCCCGGTGCAGTACAGTGAACCCTCGCTATCTGAATCCTTGTTATGTGAATATCCGCGATATGTGCATGCCATTGCTCGGAACGAGCTCCGGAGCGTTGATTGCAGGTCACATATGAGGTATTCATGAATACGGCCTAACTGAATACCACAAGCACATCTTAATCATAACAGGCCTCATACAAGAGCATTCTATGAGACAAAACTGAGCTATGATAACTTTATTCATTATAAATGTGGTTCAATTTCCAGTTTTCCTGGGCAATCGAAAATGGACACACCTCGAACGCGCAAACCAAGCCAAGCAGACCCGCATTACTCAATATTTTGGTTAAAACTTATGGGATTGTTACATATTTGGGCTGTATATGAAACATCCTTGGAAACTGAATATGCACTTTAATTGAATGCGGAAGGAAGCAACCATCCATATTCAGATATCGAGTGTTCACTGTATCTGGTGGCTGTAACCGCAGCTGTATGGCGCATGCATATGCGTCTCCCCACAACAGCGGTGCCTCGCAGGTGCATTGTCGGTTGATCGTTGAACTGCTTCTTTGACGAATTTTAGCTTCAGCGAATAGGATTGCCGCTACTTTGATGACGCACCTGATTCGTCGAACCTAATGATGCATTATCTACAGGCTATCCCGCCTACTATTTTAAGTATTAGCTTAGCAACATTAAAATAATGTCCATCTGTGTAGCATATGGACCGAAAACGACCAACACGTGATCCACAACTTCAAAGGAAGCGGCTCAATCGACAAATTTTTTTTTCTGGGAATTCTGTCTTGGAATTGAGTTCCACGATCATGAACAGGAATGGATGTGTACAGCAAGGGACGGCAACTGCCCGTATTCCGCACTATCGTAAACCACACGGAGATTCCATGTACCGTGGAGGGAAACTACATACACGCATGATCATGTCAAAGAAAAACCGTGTTTCTGATGTAGGAATATCATTAACCGTCCCTTATGGCGGCATCGAAAGAACAACTCCTTCAGTCATGTCAGCTGAAGAAATCGTATCCAGCAGGGCGAGGAGGAGAATTTTTTTCAGCCACAGAGGATCATGCAGACATCTGCCC